GCCGAGGGCCACGCGACACGCGGCGAACCGTGGCGCGGATGGACTGGTGTGTTTCGTTCAATTACTGAGTAAAATGCGTTCAAATGTGGTTAATAGCAATGTGCCACTGAAAAGAAAGATAATGATACCAAAATAACACCATACTAACCACTTACAATAAGAAATATATGAGGGTAAACTTTAATCCGCGCCACTTTCGCCTCCTGCAGCTACTATTTTCTTCTTGCGCAAAACTGAAAGATTTTGCGCGAGCCTACGTCACACGTGTGACGTCATACGCCGAAGGGCGGAGCTTGGCATCCGAGAGACCTCAACTGCGCATGCGTGGTGCAAAATTTTGCAATAGGATGCGCTGCCCGAACAGGGCTCTGGTCCCATCGTACGGACATTGAGTGCCTGCTGCCACCAGTGACGTCATCATAGTATGCTGATTTTTCAGGACACAATTTCCAGGTACTTACCGTGCACAATTTGAAATCGAATATTTTTTCGGTAAGAAATTCTTGGCCAGACGCTGAAGCTGCCAAAACTCACGTGAGAGCTTCGATTAGGAACTTGGAGCCAGCGTCCTTTTGAAAAAAAAAACGAACTATAACACACCACACCCACGTGTGTCATAATGCTGAGAGATGGCGTTCACTCGCCTTGCTCCTAACTTACGATAATTCTCTCGCTGGATGGCAGGCCTGATCCCAATGTCGCGGGTCCCAATGTTAATTTCCACGAGACACCAATCCAGTGTTATATCATCCATGGTAAAGGTAGACAAGCGGCAAGCCGCTTGCTTCGCGTTGCGAGGATATGGTTTGCGCTTAATTGTCCAGTTCGAGTAAGAAAAGTTTTGTGTAATAGTGACTTCTAGAAGCCTTGATGTACGCGAAAAGGTGAATGATGGGGCCCAAATGGATAAAATTCAAATAAATGGGTCATTTCAGGTCACATGGGTCACAGTGGGCCACGCTAGGTCAGTTTTAGTCACCTCAGGTCACCTTTGGTCATGACAGGTCACTGGGATCCCTTCAGGTCACGATAGGTCAGGTCAGGTCACAGGGGTGAGCTCAGGTCACGATAGGTCAGACCAGGTCACTTACATTACGTTAGAGCAGGTCAATTAGGTCACGATGGGTCAGGCCAGGTCAATGGTTGCTTGGCCAGGTCACGTGTCACGACCATATCACGTGTCACATTGGGTTGCAACATCACTACCCTTACCTAGCCCAAACTAACCGAACCTAAACTAACCTAAACTAACCCAACCCAACCTGACCCGACTGGACATAACCTGACCTATATAGGATGTTGGTGTAGATAAGACTGTAATCAGCCCCCACCAAATCTTCATCTGGCGTCGGCATTTTGCTACTGATGACGCCATTCCTAGCAACCGAGCGTCCCTAGCAACCGAAAGTGAAGACGTTTCACCTTCAACAAACGATCGTCAGCTAACTTCGTTAGCAACAAAGAAATGAAATTTATGAATAGTATGTTGTGAAAATAACTTATGATAATAATTAAATCATGATCGTTAATGATAAAATCCATACTTATTACTTAGTAAAGCTTACGATACATCAAATTCGTAACGTGTGCAAAAATGTCTGACCCCAGGTCACTTATGGTCAGGTCACCAGGCAAAGTGAAGTGACCATGTATCTAAGAACTTTGTGATTCAGTCATTCCTAAATTATACATTCCAGTAGCTTGAAACTCAGGGTACGTACCTATTACATGGGGGAATCAGTACCAACAATTTGTTTCTCTCAGAATTTGGATATGTGTGACCTAAGGTCAAGTGAATTTTGTGACCTCTCCATTATACGTAAATCAAAGGGAACAAATTGAAATGCCTTTCTTTTGGCTTAAAACACCCTCAAACATCAAGAAACACAGGTGAACATGACACACTAAACCGAAGAAATGCTTCTATGACCCGTTTATGGCGTTTATGCCCCTGAGGTCATTTCAGGTCATGAAACGTCTCCAACGTTTTTTGACAATACATTACTTTAGATAGAAATATGCTAGACAGCTGAAACGACCATTAATGTGTTCCGCTCAGCAATACAAATCGAATGGCATCCAACATGACCTTTTCTGTGACCTTGACCCGAGGTCAAATTCTTAACCCACGCGCTTATAGGGGAGGGGGGGTCGACCGGACCCCCTCCCCTCCGTTTTTCGCGAATACCTAACTCGCGTAAAAAGCCGCCGATCGCCACAAAACTTTCAGTACCCTCGAGGTAATTACCTAATTTTAAATCTACCCTAAAAATATGACGCTGACCAAATTGACCTTTGACCTGTAACCTATTCCGAGAGACCATGCTTGGCCGGAATCGCGATTCTGCGTATGTCAGCTCACATTATCCGCGCGATTGCAGTGTTTTTGTGGTTTCAAACATTTTAACATGTGAAATGATATTGGTCCCATGCATTATTGTGGGTGTCAAGGTCGCCTGAAGGTCAGGTCAGGTTATTGACCTTTGATGACCTCGGTTCACTTTTTTCGAGTTTTACATGTTTCCGAGCTAGTTTTTGGAGCTGATTTCGAATTTAGCAGTTCTTTCAACAACTTCGAAGTAGTTTTGGTGCCTTCGTAACATGTTACGAAGCTGTCAGTGGCGGTTGACACCTACAATGAATACCCGGCTGGACCCCTGCTGGGTGACCTTCACCTGACCTGACCTGGCCTAAATGCATGAAGACATCATCTGTGATCAAAACTAACATGATATTCCGATTCGTGATCAGCACCGCGAAAAACCTCACAGCAGGTTTTTACGACATTCTAACAGGTCCAGATTTTCCCGACTTTTGGGTCATTGACCTGACCTGGCAGGTCAACCGATGAGCTAGGACCTTAAATTGGGTATCATCGGCTTGCTCTCGTCAAGGGCAACACGCTCTTTTTTATGCGAGGCTCTAGCTCAATCAGTGGCCAAACGGCGAGGGTTTAATTAACCTTTTCCGGTCAATTTTATCTGACCTTGACCACGTTGCTCGAATTCGGAATTTTAGGGCATACTTCTGATGCGCCTCGCCTTGGTGAAACTCTTCCAACGCCACCTCGCACGTGTCGCTACGATGCTTAGCTTCGGAAATATACATAAATATATCGTTCCGCACGTACGCGTAGCACAAAGTGTAATATCAAAAGGTTTCCACGTGCGAAGCATGTGGACAGTGCACATCAGCACACCTATTCGTACAACGCCTTTAAAGGGACTATCCCACCTTTAACATGGGGTTTGAGTTGAGATAGCCAAGTTTGCGGCGAGGTTCAGAAACCACTATCTATCTAGGTTGCAACCCCCGCGGCCTCTTGGTGTTGAAGAAATTCGTTCCCTTCATTTGAAAATGGGCCTTGCGCAAGGCCCTATCTTCAACATGGAGCGACCGTTAGTGTGACGTCACCTCGTTTAGTCATTCTGATTTAAATGGGTTTGTTCGTTGAAAAATCGCTTAAAATTTGGTCTGAACTTTGTTGTGGTGCCTAGAGAGTAAAAAAAAGCAGCTTTATGACAGTAAGGTGGCCTGGGGAAGGAGGTAATTTTGGGCTGTGACGTCACATATTTGAAAGTTTGTGTTTGGAATATGGGAAGCCTAAGATGTTTAATGAAAAATAAATGCCAGAACCGTGTTCCTGGTCATCCAATCTATAAAGTCGGGTACAATTTAACTGGTTTTAACGACATTTTAGAAGGTGGGATAGTTCCATTAAGCGTTTGTCCATGTTGTGTCATTGTGCCGAGTTTTAGGTGTGCTTAGGTCAAAGTTTTCGGACATCGGAGAATGCCTCATCAAAACATGTTTTTCGCTCCGAGCATGTGCAATATGTATCTCTCGGTGCCGATTATTCCATATGTCAGTGGTTTGGTACCGGGATATGTGACCTACAAATTTGGCACCTGGACCTCCCTTGGATTGGCTTAAAGCTTCGATAAAAGGTTTTTGTTCTCAATGTGTTTGTCGGCAAGTCACACGTGACAGAGAGTGACCCGGGACCTATACCATCACCTGCCTCCAGAAATGGCACGTCAAACGGCACCACCATCACCTCGATCCGATCATCCATTTAAAAATAATTACACATTTATTTGCTTTACAACGTTTCACAGCACAGATTGTTGGCGCCGCATTGTCGGCGCCACTATCTTCCATGGGAGGTCCCTTCGAATAGCCAGTCCAGTTTATTTATACGTCTATTAATTTTTACCAAATTATCTGATTTAGTAGTATCGTAAAACATTTATTTTTCTTTTCATATCATCTGTTCCAATTGAAAACAAGTCCATGGTGCCTTACTTTACATTTCCAGCAATTATTTTCACAAAATCAGATACTTGGCAATGGATTGCCCTCCCTTCAAATTTAGTTTCAACTAGGACTGTCTAGTAGGATACTAGGAAAAATATTCCAAGCACCAGTGACGTCACAATTTGTCCAAATGTCCAACCTTATGTTCTAGTAATCTTGACTGCAATATAGTGGCAAGCAGGAATAAGTCATGCAAGGGATAATATCTTGTAAGGGATGTGCTTGGTTCGCGTCGGAGATAAATTTGTTTTCGAAAGATATTTGATTCATATTGATGGGTCAGCTGGAAGCGGATACCTATAATCGGAAACGCTCCTAGGAAAATTTTGGCTAAAGAGCTTTGTTGGGTAAAATTTGGGTGACATGGGGTCAGGCTGGTCACATGGGTTACCTCCAGTCAAGCCTGCTCACAGGGCTACACTGAGTCAGACCAAGACACCCCATTTCACCATGATTTATGATAAACAAATATAGATAGACAAAAGTCAATATATTTGGTTAATTTTGTTTCAAATTTCGCCCACAATCAACACTGCCTGAAGACTTCTTTGTCTGACCCTGGCTCCGGTTGATAGTCATTCCGAAGGCTACACTCAAATGGAACTGTAGCCTCCGGAATGAAAACCCCAGGCCAGAGTCAGACGAAGATTCGAGTGGGATGCGCGGAACGAACACACTCTCACCTCGAGCAGGGCCGGTCAGCACGCTCAGCTCGAGGACGTCGTCAGCCAGGGTTTTGACCACGCACAGTGTACCTTTAACAGCGCGCGGTGCGTCCAAGTTGCGCATGAGAAGAACCGGTGCGCCAGCTTTCAGGCGAATTTTGTGAGGTGGTAGGCCGGAAATTTCTATCTTATTCAGTACCTCCGCTGTTAATGGCACGGTGTTTGTGTCGGTCATGGTGTCGACGCTGTCATACACCTTCTCTTGTCCTGGCATACTCTCCATGACGTGGTCGTTGATGATTTTAGCATCCGAATTGAGGACTGTCAGAATAGTGCGCTCTTCGAGCCACTCAAGATTTTGACAATTTTGGGCCAGATCGGGGTAGATGCGCTCGGCCAGCTCGGCGAGTGATCGCGCCGGGCTGAGCACCGTTGGCGGAACCGTCACGCTGTCGAGTGTGCCAGGGCATAGAGGAAGCCGGCCGGAACCGAGCTGCGACAGGAAGGTGGCATACTCGCCGGCCTCTAGGTCACCCTGTAACTGCACGCACATGTTTGTACGCAGCGTGAGACATGTCACATACTGCCACAGCGGGGATGCTTTGAGGCATGCACCGACAACCTGATGCCGCGCACCACCCTTAACGACCGGCAGGATCTGTTGCCAATCACCGGCAAACATAGTCAGCAGACCGCCGAACGGCCGGTCGGTGCCCCTTAAAGGGACTATCCCACCTTTAACATGGGGTTTGAGTTGAGATAGCCAAGTTTGCGGCGAGGTTCAGAAACCACTATCTATCTAGGTTGCAACCCCCGCGGCCTCTTGGTGTTTATCGCAGCTGGCGCGGCCCTCGATGGTGATGAGTGCGAAGAGGCACCTCAGCTGCCGGGGGAAGGTGATTTCGGCTGCCTCCGCCATGGCCCGATGCCAGTGCTGGCCGTCCTCCAGCAGACCGAGCACCGAGCAGGCCTCCTGAAAGGTGTCACGCACTTGACCGTTGACAGTGCGGAGCAGGGTATATTGGTGCGGAGCGCCTCAAATGAGCGCGGCCCCCGCACGTTGTGCAGGAGAAGGCGCAGGAAGAAGCGTTCCCCGGCGCGTGGGCTCACCGCGTAAACACGGCCGAGAGCCCGTGCGGAGAATATCCCCGGCACGTTTGGATGTGGTGCTCCCCGCCGCCGCCGCCTCCAGCTTTTTGTCGCCGTCTGCCTTGTATAGTACCTGGGGACTTCATGGTAGAGCAGAGTACATAGCGGCGAACTCGTCCTCTGCGCAGATGTTAAAGAAGCTGGTCAGCTTGGACTGCTCCTGCCTGTCAATCACTTGCCGTAGATGGTCGTCGGCGTGGAACCTTACCAATCGGTCTTGACCGCCAAGGTGGACGGGCAGCAGTGTTTCATTTTTCAGACTTTTTGGTGGCAAATCACACCTAATGGGGACAATGTTTTCATCCTAAAATATGAATGACCGACTTTACTTCATCTCTGAAAAAGTTTCATGTATTCCCAACAGCCAGTTTACATATCCCTTGACAGTTGATGCACCCACATCCTTTTGTTTCACACCCTGTCAAGATCCTGACATGAAATCCTGGTTCATCAGTTGGCATAGAAATTGGCATTACACCATTTTGCAAAAATACTTGTTATTTACTTCCTTTTTTATCATCCTAGGATTTTTTTTCTTCATCGGCACACCCAACCAATCTCCAATTTTAGAACACTGACGGGCAGCGCTTCTACTGTGGGCAGGTGCTCATGGATCGGGTTCTGGAGCAGGCGCCAGGCGGCCTCCATGGCGCTCAGATAGCGGCCCTGCTGAAAGGTCGCTATCTCGTCGACCACCGCCGGCTCACCTGGTGCCACCGCGAACATGACCTGGTCGCTTCCCTTCGTCACGTACTTGAGGACGTAACGAATGCAGGTGAAGGCATGGGTGACGAGCTCCACATTGACGTGGCACTGCAGTGCGCGGCTGAGTAGGGGATTGTATGGCACAATCCAGCGGTTGTCCACAGTGATAGGACCACCGGGTCGGCCGGTGGGATGCACGGTGCGCCCGCCGTCCAGCGGGCTGCGGCGGCGGTACTGCGGGTACCCCGTGTCGTTCACCTCGGTGACAGCGGCGAACTGCTTCGGGTATCGCTTTGTGCAGGCGCCATCAGCCATGCACGGGGCCGCTGGCCGGTGGGCACCGCACGGGCCGTGCACCATATTGCTGGTGACGACAGCATGGAGCTCTGGCTCTGTTATCGGGTCTGGGATCTCGGCCGAGACGAACAGGTCGGCGGTGTCAGGCCGAGGCTTGTCGTCTGGCTCCAACCACAGGACGATATGGGCATGAGGGAGGCCGCGCTTCTGCCACTCGATGCAGCTGATGAAGGCACGGACCTGACCGAAGACCGCGCCGTCTCGGAACAGGTGCAGGAGGCCGCGCAGCTTCTGGCGAAAAAACTTGTGACACCACTTCTGGATGGTCAGAAGGCTGCTGTCCCGGGTACAGGCGTCGCAGGGTGTCCTTAATTTCCGCCCACATTGGATTGCACGTGACCGTAGGTCGCCACCTCCAAACTCGCGAACGTACGCCATGGCATCGTTGAGCTTGGCGACCATGTAGCGGGCGCTGCCGGTAAAGGATGCCGGCAGCACGATGCGTCCGACATCAGCGCCGTGCTCGTCACCGGCGTGAATGGCGTCCGTCAGGCCGCGCAGCGTCTCTGTCCTCAGTGCCGGCTGGTGTTGGCGCAGGTAGCAGAGGCGGTCCGATTCGATTTTCGCGAAGGCGTCCACCAGTAGCTGCTGAAAGAGTGACTGGCCTCTGGCGATCAAATTGAAATGGCCTGGACGATAGCGCATATGGAAAGCGTAGTACTCTGTTGCTGTTATGTTCATGGCGTGCTTCATTTCTAGGGACCAGCCGTCGGTGCCGTGAGGGTGTAACAGCACGTAGTGCAGGGGGTCGTAACTGCGGTGATATTCATTAATGCGTTCCACACCGCCGTCTCGGTGGTGCAGAACGATGTCGCGGACGCCATGCGGCTCATCGGGCATTAGGACTGCCATCTCGCCGGTCTCCGGCAAGTTGAAGCGGCGCTGGTGTTCCGTGGCGGGCCGACGCTGTGCGCTCAGAACGATTCTGAGTGGTTGGTCCTCTCGGCGCACCAGCTCAAATGCCGAGCGAAGCCCGCGCACGTAGATGTTGTTGTCGTGCAGCATCTCCTGCAGCTGCTGAAGCACTTCTGGATGCATATTCTCGTACAGGTCCATCCGTGCTTCCAGCTCCCTGTCGTAGAAGTAAATCTGCAGGTACTCCGGCTGAGCGCCCTCCGCCGGCAGCAGGCTCCCGATACGGTGGCACACGGTGCCGTGCACGGTGAACACGGGGTTCCAGCCTGGCTGTCGCACCTGCTGGCAGCCCATGCTAGCCAGCTGGAAGGCGCTATTAAACGTTCTGAGATGCTGTGTGAAGTGCCGATGGTGTGGCGACTCTGGCGAGAAGAGCTGACACAGCACCTCAGGCGGTGGTGGGTGGAACGGTGGAGCCACCTTGCCGGAGTGACAGCAGGCGCCGGGCGACTCCTGCCGCCAGCGGAGCGCGCCGCAGTGAGCACAAACGACCTCCATCTGGCCCAGCTGCAGGCGAGGTGGCGCCACGTACGCCTCGCGGCTGTACAGCTTGTGTGGCGCACGGCGGCGGAGCTCCTCCCGCTGCAGGCGGTGCCGCTCGGCGTCTGCTGCCAGGAACGCGGCGCGGTCCTCCCGCTGCCGATCAGCGGCGTGACGGGCGGCGTCCTCTGCGAGTCGCTGCTGGCGCTCAGGAGTCGTCTCTCGGTCTCGGGCGGCGGCTTGGCGGGCGGCCTGCTGCTCAATTCGCTGCACGCGCTCTTCCGCGGTCTCAGCTGCTCGCGCCACCCTTTTCCGCGCAGCGTCCCCGGAATAGTCTCTCATACGCTTTGCCGAGGGAAGGCCTCGATTAGCGCCCTGAAAAGGCACAAAGAAAACAGCTATAATGCATAAAAATTAAATCACGCCCGGGTGGGCTTCTCAGCCAACTTCGCCATGGTGAGGGCCTTTTTGGCCACAACACGTTATCTCGGAAAGTAAGCAAGCTAGAAGGACGCGGTAAATAACAATGGATGGCCCACTATAAGATATTTTGGAATTTAAAAAGTCATTTTCGTTCAGGTCATCGCTGAGGCCGCTGAAGGTCACCAAAGATAAGAATAACGCGACATTTTGGTCCCGATTTTGACAACTTTTCACTAACCAAAGCGAGGCATAAGTAAGGAACTAATAAAGCTACAGCGCTGCCGAAACGCGCATTCGATAGCTCTTTGAAAGACCTTTCTGAACATTACTCTCAGATTTGACCTAAGCTCAATGGTTTAGCCTCCAGAGGCTAAAAACTCAAAATTGAACGTTTTTGCGGGAGGTTTCTCTGTAATAACTGTCCACTCCAAGCTTGTATTACACTGATTTTACTGGCATCGCGGTTGTCTCGTCGAGACGCGTCGAATGAACTATAAGTTGACCTTGAAAGGGCGACATAAAAATTTGACTTCAGGTCAAGGTCACGGATCAGGCCATGTTGTATTACATTCGATTCGTCTTGTGTTAAACACATTTGGCTGGAGACTTCCACACGCGGATAAGTCGCGTGTAAGTGCTTTGCGGGTAAGCTGGCGTTTATCTCGCGTTTAAGTCGGCGGGTAACTTTGCCCGGAGACTTCCATCTGCGGGTAAATAGTTTGTTCGCTAAGTTAGCGAACGAACTTACACGCGAGCCACCCCATGTATTAAGTTCGCGGATATCTTTTCGGTGGTTGTTTTTTGGTTCTTAGGTGGTTTTGAAAGTTTATTTCTGTGCAAATTTTATGTGCAAGTGATGGACAATAGTGCAATCATCTAGTTCCGGCTTTTTCAGCCAGTTCGGCCTAGCCGTTCGGCTACTAAGATTAGACGAATTTGAGATCACCTTTTCATAGTACTGAGGCCAGTTTTACCAGCAGAAAAATAGCCGCCTGCCGGAATTTTTCGCCTAAAGGCCGATTCACATACGGATCGAGAGCGGTAAAGCCCTATCCGCTTACGTGCTTATCGCGTTTACACTCCGTATGTGAAACGGTCTTTAGACAAAAAATTCCGCCAGGCGGCTATTTTTCTGTTGGTAAAACTGGCCTCTGTACTTGTTGAGGAGTTACAAATTACGTATTTCATCACTGCAAGTATCCAGATGTTTTCGACAAGTCATACATGAGTAATGAGAGCAATATTTGAGTTGACAGAATTGAGGTTGTAGGACTCAAATTTTCAAATACGGAGGGATTAGTCTATTTCCATCGCACCTATCTCCTTGCCACCAGCTGCTATTTCGTAATCTTCGGGATAGTGAGATGGGATCGTATCGCATCCGAAATAATGTGATCGTCGAGCCAGCCGGCTAGTGTCGGGCCCCGGTCGCCGCACTTCGCGTTACGTGTCAGTGGGCCGAGGACCAGCTCAGTGGAAGCAATACGAGTGTCCGGTCAACAACCATGGACAGGAAGAAGAGGAGCAGAAATTTCAGTAGCAGAGACATGCATTTGTTAGCCGATGTCATGAAGACTGAAGTAAAAATCGAAAATAGCGACACGATGGAAGGAGTAATGAAGAACGAAAACGGTCTTTGAAGAACATTGTTACAGCCTGTAATGGAAGATCAGAAGAAAAATGGGACTAGAAACAGCTGACACAGCTCTGGAGAGATATGAAAAGGACGGCTAAAAAGGATCATTAGCGGTTTAACCCGCGAGTTGCTGGGGGGGGGGGCGTTAAACGCCCCCACTTTTTTCGCCGGGCCATAGCATAAAAACGGCGCGCCGCAGGCGCGCCAAATTTTGGCCACCTGTAGGGAATTGATTGAAGTCTATTGTGACAAAATGTCAAAAAAAATCGGTCCGCAAAATTTTGAGATATCGAGGTTTTAGTGACGTCATGATTTCTGAGTTTTCGACCAAAAACGGCATATGTTCAAAAAATCATATAAAATCACAGAATAGACATACAGACATGCTGTAAACGGCATTAGACTGCCAATACCATGAACAATCAAATGGCTATCTTCGATTATTGATTATCGTTTCGCATTTGCCAAAATCTTGATCTGAATCTTGGCAATTTCTCGTGACTACTTCACGAACATGATACATACATTTCTTAAATTGAACTGTTTGAGCCAAACACGTACACATATGATAAAATGAATGTCACCATCGTGTTCTACGCCCCAAATTACCCACAAAACATGTGTCACAGGCTGCGAATATCAGTTTTGATTTTCGGGGATATGTGCCTACCCGGTTGACCTGACCTTGACCCTGACCTATGCTTGACTGACCCCTACATGGGCTGACACTCTTGTAGGCCTTATATGATGGATTGTGCACCGTTTTGACAGAGTTTATGACGAGAGGCGCTCATTGCGAAGTCCTGAAGTCCATGCTACTGAAAGCCCGATTTCAGGTGTTTGACCTGACCTTGACCCGACCTGTGACCTCAAAATTCAACTTTAAAGTACTCATCTGAAGCGTCTCGTCGCGTTCTTTCGTTTGCCGCCTCGTGCGTTTCGCTGCGCCTATTGGTTCTCGAGTTATCGGCTGGGGGCGTTTAACCCGGCATTTGCTGGGGTATTTCGCCACACATTGTTTGCTGGGGGGGGGGGGGGGCGTTAAACGCCCCCAGCCGATAACTCGAGAACCAATAGGCGCAGCGAAACGCACGAGGCAGCAAACGAAAGAACGCGACGAGACGCTTCAGTTGAGTACTTTAAAGTTGAATTTTGAGGTCACAGGTCGGGTCAAGGTCAGGTCAAACACCTGAAATCGGGCTTTCAGTAGCATGGACTTCAGGACTTCGCAATGGGCGCCTTTCGTCATAAACTCTGTCAAAACGGTGCACAATCCATCATATAAGGCCTACAAGAGTGTCAGCTCCATGTAGGGGTCAGTCAAGCATAGGTCAGGGTCAAGGTCAGGTCAACCGGGTAGGCACATATCCCCGAAAATCAAAACTGATATTCGCAGCCTGTGACACATGTTTTATGGGTAATTTGGGGCGTAGAACACGATGGTGACATTCATTTTATCATATGTGTACGTGTTTGGCTCAAAAAGTTCAATTTAACCCTCGCATGTGTGCGGCGTTTGCCAGCTTCTAATGTGTAGGGGGGGTCGGTTGGACCCCCCCCCTTGCCGTTTGGCCCCTGATCGAGCTAGAGCTTCGCGGAAAAAACGAGCGTGTTGCCCGTGACGAGAGGAAGCCGATGATACCCAATTTTAAGGTCCTAGGTCATTGGTTGACCTTCCAGGTCAGGTCAATGACCCAAAGTCGGGAAAATCGGGACCTGTTAGAAAGTCGTAAAGTGTGGCTGCTAAGGGGTTTTTCGGGGTGCTGATCACGAATATCGTGTTAGTTTTGATCACAGATGATGTCTTGAAGCATTTAGACCAGGTCGGGTCAGGTCAGGTCAGGTCATCCAGTAGGCGTCGTGACGGGTATTCGTAATACGTGTCAACCGCCTCTGACAGCTTCGTAACATGTTACGAAGTCACCAAAACTACTTCGTAAATGTTCAAATGGTTGCTAAATTCGAATTCAGCTCCAAAAACTAGCCTAGAAACATGTAAAACTCGAAAAAGTGACCCGAGGTCACCCGAGGTCACCAAAGGTCAATGACCTGACCTGACCTTCAGGTGACCTTGACACACACGGGAGTAACATCAAATCACATGTTTGAACGTTTGAAACCACGAAAAGCTTGCAAACACGCGGCTAGTGCGAGCCGACATACGCGAAATCGCGATTCCGGCCAAACATGGTCTCGGAAAAGAGGTCACAGGTCAAAGGTCATTTGGGTCAGGGTCATGAAATTTTCAGGGTAGGTGTAAAATTGATCAATGCGAGGGTACTGAAAGTTTCGTCGCGATCGGCCGCTTTTTACGCGAGTTATTCGCGAAAAACCATGGGGGGGGTCCATCCGACCCCCCCCCCCCCTACACATGCGAGGGTTAAGAAATGCGTGTATCATGGTCGTGAAGTAGTCACGAGAAATTGCCAAGATTCAGTTCAAGATTTTGGAAAATGCGGAACGATAATCAATAATCGAAGATAGCCATTTGATTGTTCATGGTATTGGCCGTCTAATGGCGTTTACGGCATGTCTGTATGTCTATTCTGTGATTTTATATGATTTTTTTAACATATGCCGTTTTTGGTCGAAAACTCAGAAATCATGACGTCACTCAAACCTCGATATCTCAAAAATTTTCTGACCGATATTTTTGAAACTTTGTCACAATAAACTTCAATCAATTCCCTACAGGTACCGAAAATTTGGCGCGCCTGCGGCGCGCCATTGTTATGCTATGGCCCGGCGAAAAAAGTGGGGGCGTTTAACGCCCCCCCCCCCCCCAGCAACTCGCGGGTTAACGCCCCCCCCCCCCAGCAAACGGTGGGTGGCGAAATACCCCAGCAACTGCCGGGTTAAACGGCAACAAATGGGCACTGGTAGTGGACCGGATCCTGCGCCGTTGGAACGTCAGCCACCCCCGCGACACGCACATATTAAACTGATCACTCGGTGATAATCGTCCTTTGTGTGGCATTGAATTGGACACCGACGACGCCTCACCGATGAAGTGACGGGGCGGGGGTGGGGACGGGGGGTGACGGAGACGAACCGATGAGGGCAGACGAGTAATCTGAGATACGGCTGTTATAAGATCATGCAGTAGACTGGCGGTCGGCCATACAGAGTGAAATAACACAAGGCGAGTAGCATTACTGATGCTGATTGGCACGGCTTCAACCGCTGTTCTGGTTAGGTTAATGCATCACCACATCCCATTGTTACGGCTGTACTCATTGCATGTGTAAAAACGCTGATTGGGGGCCACCGGTCCCATAAATAA